CTGTATATGAGTATGCCAAATAACGAATGACTGCCCCGAGACCAGATCTCACGGCATATTGCACCGCCCAGTTGTTTCTAGTTGCCTGGCAGGGCATTCAAGTAGGCCAAGGCAACACGGTATTTCATGATGCAGTGCCAGATGCATCTGGCATAATTTTGCCGACTAGAATCGTCTCGAGCTCATCACAAACAATGCTTCTGGAGCTGGTACTCCTTATACGCTTGAGCATAAACAGTATAGACATCATAAGCTGTTCGTACGTTTGATAATGTCAATACATCACAAATGAATTGTCCAAGACCAAATATCACCCCGAAGCTGTGACCTGCTTAAATGTCCTCCTGCTTCCAGAAAACTAGAAACAAAGCAGACCAATTCGCACTGTAGTGCAATACGCACTACAATCTGGTTTGGATGGATCATTCGATATTTGACGTAATTAGGCACACGAAAAGCTTATGATGCTTGTGCGGACTGAAACATCGTTCGTCTGCTGTTTTGAATGCGGCGTTCTGTTCAATTGACATGATCAGGGATTTTCCTAATGCCTTTTTTTTATGATTTTGGCAATAAGGTTGATTTCCTGGAATAAGGTTAAAAGAGTATGGTGACGAGTTTGCTATGAGATACGTTGAGTTCTAAAGCATTGTAACAGAGGAAGCCATGCTGGACCAACCTCGTAAGTTTATTCTGTGCATGTTGATCTAGTTTTTGTCCGTTCCACCGTGACTACTTCAAAGATCTTTCTTTTATACACGGACGGGACTGAGTGCATCCTATTTTATGGCGTGGATCGTAAGTACACTTTGCTTCACAACGGCAAAGCCCATCACACCTGCTCTGCTGAGTCAAACCGTTGTTCACTGATCTGATTCCTTGCTGGAATCTCGTTTCCTACCGGAATCTTCAATGCAGCTTTTGTGTGGACAGTTCATCCTATATATTCTTTTTCTGATATGGTGTACTGCTTGTATAAGAGGCTGTCAACCTTGTTCAGGGAACTGCAACCTGTGGCTATTTTGTACATGGTCACAAAAAATTTCGATTCTTTCAATTAAGTTCTCTTGGAACGTGACAATCAGGAGAGGAGGCATCGGAGATCTTTTCCAGTGATTGTGATTGTCGCTCCTTCTAGGTTTTGGATCCTTTTAAAACTTCCAATCCACTTTGACGAACTGTCTCTTCAGATATCGGTTTTCCGACAGGTTACTATCGTTCTGATGGAGAAAGGGGAAAAACACAGTGATACGTTTCGAAAGCATAGCGCTTGAGCCAGTCCTGCTTTTAAGGTAGTGGGGATGCGGAAATGAAAGTTTATGTAGCGTTCGGTGTGGATGCACTTCTTGTAAACAGAGGTGCATAGTGTTCCGTTCCTCCAGTACATCAGCACATCTATGAACAGCAGATTGCCCCCTCTTTTAATTCATGGGCAAACTGAACGAGTTCTTTGAGAGAGTTCAGTTGCTCTTCTGTGCGGTCACAGAATCCAAAGAATAGTGCAACTGGGGCTGATAGGGCTATTCCGCATATTTCCGTCAGGAATGATTGACTGTTGTGAGCTACAAGCATTATCAGATTAAACGTTCACTTTCTACTGTTCGGTTCTTTCGCATCCGAAGACTGCACGTGAATCTAGTCACCACAAAAACACAGAAGACTTCAGATAAGAGTTCGACTGAAAAATTAAGGGCAATATCGTGGAGAATCCGCGATAGTCTGTAAAGAATCGAAATATACTCGGTGACTGAATTATTCGTAACTGGAGGCTCATAAACGTCTTCATATCATTAAGGCAAATTTGTTTACAAAAAGGAAACGTCAGAAACAAACCGGAACCAGCAAACCGCGTCCCTCAGCAGAAGTTTTTCGGAAAGTCGTAAGAACGAAAAATGTGCATTACATGTTAATGACAGAAGATCATGATCAAAACATGCACCACAATGCGCAATTATTATTTACCTCCTCCAACTCGAATCCGTAGGCGGCAGAAGAAAATTCTGCGAAGGGAACTGACCTGCAATCTAAGACAAAAATGGATGATTGCTGATCACACTGAAACAGACGTGGACGGGGACCGTTGAAGGCGCGCAGTACCTCTTGCTCTCCGAACCTTGAAAGCAGCGGATTCAAGGTGCCAGGCATCGGCTGAAGACAATTACGATGATACGGCGAATGGCCATGAAGTCCGGGACTGTGTCTTCTCGACGGATACATGACAAAACGATTGTCATACGAGCCCATTTCACGGTTGGCTGCAGTCCACGGCATGCTGCTTTCCGGACAAGCATTCTTCAATAAATCAGGCATATTAATATTTAATAACGTAAACGATACAAAACTTTTACCATCATTTGCGAAGACATGTGATTCACGTTCGGTAGCGATCTGCCTGCTTTCAAAAGTCCGGCAGAATATAATGCAGAAGAGTCATTGTCAGCACCACTCTATAAACACAATAGAGTTCAACGGTTTAGCATAAGAAATAACGTCGCTTAGCATTTCAGTCGAAAAAATTTGTTACCAAACGATTATGAACAATCAACAAACATCAAATCAACAACATAGAGTATAGCATAAGGCCAAATAACAAAATCAACCAACAAATTCTCTACGATATTAAGATAATTCATGCGGAACGACCCAGTAAGTTCAGCATATCTGCAATCGACACAGAACACTCAAGATCAGGTTTTTACGCTTTGGCACAGGAACGTCGAACAGCTATCATTCAGCGGTGATAAATGAAAACAGCAGCGCCATCACAAATGCGATAGGAAATTCTGGACAGAGGCCACGAGTGAG